GCCACATTAAGAAACAGCAGCATCTCACCCGCACACTGGTTTGACTTTGTGCCACTGTTTTTTTTTTTTTTTTAATGTTGTTAAATTCTATGGACCTTTTTTCCTATCACTTATTCTCTACTGAATGGTTTGTTGTGGTTGCTTGGCCAGCTCTGTTTTTAGATTGAAACAATTGTCCTAAGATAGTGCTTAAGACAGTTAAGACCGAGACAGCTCTGTCTCATTGATCCATCTGCTTTGTGTGACTTCATCAAGTGAAAACACATTTCTTTATGACAGAGGACAGAGAGTTTACACATGCACAGCTTTGAGTATGTCTGTATTCATATTCTGCTTTCACAGTTGTGTAAATCTATTGTGGCACGTATACCACAGGAACCAGAGATCCCTCTAGTGTCTGTATCCTCAGGGCTTTTTTGTGTGTGTTTCATGTGTGTTAGAGTGGCCTCAAAGGAAATCTCTAAATAATACAGAGCAGCAAAGAAATACTAACAAGAGGCTTTGAGGCCACAATCTGATAAATTCATTACTAGTCAGTGTTAATTAGTGTGTGTCTTACAATACAATTCATCCTTCTCAGATCTGCGACACCAGAATACAGAAACCTGTGCAAACAAGCAGCTGCAAACTGCAAAATCAATGTGCTCTGCTGACATCAATACTCCCCAGAGCTGGGCTGTGCAGTGATTTTGGCATCATGTGTTACTAATTTAAGGGCAGTAAAACTATGGAAAAAAAAATGTTGTGAGACTCCCACACATCTAGCTTCGCTAAAAGCGAGAAAGAGTTGTTTCGGGACATTATTTTTGCACCTGTCATGTGCTCAGTCACAGCTCAGTGGAGCCAAGAAATACAAGTACAGCATGTGTGATCATCACTGATGTACTGTATATGGTGACTAGTTCTCACTGAAATTCCCTGGAACACCGTGAGTAAAGCTTTTACTTTCACTAAACATGTCTACTTGCCTTCTGTTTCTTCTATCTAACGCCTCTTTTCTGATGTTTCCCTTTGGCTTGTGTTGTGTGGACTCAGACAAGCAATTAAGGATTGTTTTAAGTGTCTTCATTGTCGTGTGTGTTTCTGTCCCGCTCCGACTGGTCATTAATGTCACCTACTGTCTCTCTCACTCGCTGCACCTCCAGGAGCCCTTCTTTCCATAATGGAAATCACAATGGCTGCTGCCTAATTAAACAAGCACTAATTTCAAGAAGATTAAAGCCATTACAATTAGTGAGATAAAAGAGTGAACAGGAGACATGAATAAAATACGCTCTTATGCATTCAGGTGCCATTTAAACAAGGTGCTGGATCTATGAAATCAATCAATATAATGTGCATGTCTCTGAATGTGTGTGCATGTGCAGGAAAAGGAAAAAAAAGACAGGATGAAAGGCCTAATTTAGCTTTGTCATATATTTTATTAGTATTTTCTATGATTACAGTCTAATTTATTAAAAAAAAAAAAAAAGTATGAAAATGTTGCTGTGTACTTGTGATATAATTCATATATTTAGATAAGAGGAGACATAGATTTTATTTCCTCTCAGATGAAGATTTGTTCTATTTCTTGTTTAGTTGGCAGCGGTACATCTTGTGTGCAGGTGAAACAAGAAGCAGAGTATTGGTTGTAACATGAAAAGCAAACAAATGTTGTAAAATATTCTCCCAGTGGCTCAGCGCAGCTTAGACAAATATCTTGGCATTTTAAGGCAACGGAATATAAATCACTATTCATTACCACAGTGGTAAGAAAACACAGTCTCCACTGGGGAGCAGATCTACCAGGGCAGTGCTCTACTCAGTGCTTGTGTGTTTGTTTGCTCGTCTTCCACCCCAGTGACTCTCCCCTTAAGAAGCTGAAACAGAGCTGCAGCACAGCCTCTCTAGAAGAACTGGAAAAGTTGCTGATACTAAGTTTTATTCAAGTCCACATAAACCTCCGGTCCAGAATCACACTGCGGGTTAATATCTGACAGCGTCTGGATTTGAGGAAAGTGTCCTACTTACCCACCAAAATCACACGCTCATTCATCAAACTGCTGTGTAAGAGCACTAAATGGAACCATCCCAATATCTGATTCATGAAACTGTGTCAGTCCAACAGAAATAAACACAGCACACTGTGTTTAGTCATCAAATGAAAACCGTGTAGAATGAAATGATCGTGAATTCTCTGCTACACCAAGAGTTTTCCTAGTGTGGTGGCTGTTGACCATTTCAAAGGCAGGCTTGCCCTACATACGCCATATATAGCAGAAACAGCAATGTCGCTTCATATTTTGATTGCGGAGGTTTCAACCATAGGGAGAGTTCTTTTTTTTGCAGCCTTTAAAGAAAGATTAAAGGCTGTCATAAGAATAAAATTTGGCAAGCAGTTGTGTTATCTCTCAGCTGCAGAGTGTCTCAAATTAAAAATGAATAATTTGGCAAATGTTCCATTTCCTTTGCATGCCATAGTTCAGAAAGAAATGGTTTGATATTAAACTTGTAATAACACTGTTAGGGTCTATGCTCTTGGTATAGAAGCTTAGGGCACACTTATATTTGCACAGCAAAAGTCTGTCTAAGGAACCAACATCAACGGCGCTTGAATACCAAGAAAGGGGAGAATTTTACACACACACACACACACGAACACACACACACACACACACACTGTCAGAAATGTTTTTGCAACAGTTTTGCAACTTTTTCATCATCATGTGTGTGCTGGTAGAGACATCCAGTTTAATTCTTGGTGCATAGATCTGACATATCTGCACATCCCCGATTGATGACTGAGTCAGATGTCAGAAGGACCCAATAAAAAAAGTGCTATATCTATATTTTGACTGTGTTCAGAATCCCTTCCTCAGTCAATTATTCATGGACACGTTTTTTTTTTTTTTTTTGTATCCACTGCTGGAATTTTTGAGGGTACAACATAGTTAATGGCCATTTGTGCTATATTGCATGTGACTTCAGACACAGCCTGTGGATTTGTAAACTGCAGATGTCTACACAGGTGCCTGCAATTGAAACGTTGATACTAAATGTAATGTGTCACATTTACGAAACTGCATGTAGCAGAAACAGAGGAGAAGCCCAGAGACGAACATCTGTTGCAACCCTATTAATGAAAATCTTTTACACACACAAATCCACTGCTGGTGGATATAGTTTTAGCATTTAGTGCGTAGGTCCACAAATATAGAGACTGTAGATGTGTGTATACCTGGTTTTCTTTCTCTTTATCCCTACAGAGTTATAAAGTGAATGGACCATCAATCTCTTAAGGCATATTGTCTCTTCTTTACATGCTGATATACACTGACCAGTCCACAACATTAAAATCACCTGCTTACTACTGTGAAGGTCTTATTAATGGCATCAGAACAGTTCTGGCCTGTGGACCTGTTGGGGCATCCTGTGGTGTCGGACACTTGAAATGAATCTGTTGTGTCCTGTGGAGCCTCCACGGATCAGGATTGTTCTCGTGCATTTTGAGATTGTTGAATTGGATTGGGCTCTGAAGAATTTGGATGTTCGGCCAACACCTTGGGCTCCTTGTTGTGTTCATCAAGCTGATATTAAGCAGTTTTTGTAGTGTGGCAGAGTTTGCTGTTCTTTTGGGGAAGACCACTGGTGTTGGGAAGTGCCATTGTTATGGTTGGTCTGCAGCAATATTTAGGTGGATAGTACGTGTCAAAGTGACATTCACATGACTGCCAGGAGCCAAGGTTCAAATCAAGATGTCATTTTCTTCACCTATCAGTGGTTGTAATTTTGTTGCTGACTGCTGTTTACTTAAAAAACGTGTTATTTGAGATCCTAGGGTTCTTACAAAGATAGAGATTATACATACGTTTATCCACTTATGCCTACAAATCAAACTGATTGTAAGAGGATTTGCTGAATGATGCCTTCAGTCTTCTCTCTAAAATGGCAGCTAATGACCCTTAAAGTCAGTCAGTTAATAAATCACTTGCAAATGTATCATATCCTTCACTCCACAATCATCATCATTTTTTCTACTCCAAGAACTTGGCAATAATACCTCATTCTAAAGTTGAATATAAGTATTCAAATGGTCCTCTTAATGTTCTCCAAGGTACCACATTTAGAAATGGGAATGGGCTCTGAATGCAGCACTGAAACGATCTCACCTGAACTGCACAATAGCCCAGCAGACTGATGACGAGAGCTGATAGATGTATAAAGACAAATTACAGGATACCCCATTAACACTACATTTTCCTCAGCCAGTGTGAGAGCACGAGTTGAGAAGACGACGAGTAATTTGGGTAATTTTGCTCGGCGCTTCTCCTTTTTCTTTAATAACAATAATTATCTGTGGAAAACATCTGTAGGATGTGTTGTCTCCCCCCCTTCCATCCCTCTCTTTCTTTGTCTGATCAATGTCTTTGCCTCAGATCTCTTTCTAAATCGCTGTTCCTTCTCCTCATCTCCCCTGCGTTCTCTTGTGCTGTCTCTTACACAGTTACTTTTCCCTTAATTGAACACCTCCTTCTGTCTATTTTTACAGACCTCCAAGTCCAAATGACACCAAGTTTATAAGCTTGATATCTCCGTAATCATCTCCTGGCTGATTTAAAGCAACTTAGAAACAAATGAATGAAGAAGCCACAGATTTAATCGCGTCTTGCACCTTTGTTGTGCCATATCAATCAATCATGTCATGTTTTTACTCAATGTCCTGTAGAATAAACAGTCTGCAGTGTCATGTGCTAGTGTTTTCTAACTTTGTCTGACTGACAAGCATTTTCTGTTTGTGTTTTTGTGGCTATCTTTCATGCCTAAAACGAATATGTAAATGCAGAAGCTGCTGAAAGATATTGACCCAGACCCTCAAATGGAACTAACACAGGTAACTTCATTGGGGTCCAAAACATTTTTTTTGTCTAAACTCTCCTCTTAGCAGAGTGTAGTGTTCCTCAATCACATTTATAGTTGGCACATTTTGTCACTGAGAACAATTAGCTGAAGCTCCTACTCACCCCAGTGGTTTCTCCAGTCGACTGGCTGGTGATCCAACAATCTCCCCAAGAGTGCAGAACATCTGACCCAAAAAGTCCTGGAGGGAAGGCAGCAGCGAAGAAAAAATGGAGGAGAGGAAGGAGGGAGGACATGGTTGTGGATGTAAAATAGAAAAAGGCAAAAAAAATCCACGTCTAGTCAGACTTCAAATCTATCTTCAGGAATAATCCACTACAGCCCTGCCTCCTGCGAACAACATTCCTATACAACTAAACTGCATCCTCAATTATGTTTTGATTAAAACTTTTTTCTTATTATAAATACGTTTATTTTTTTCATTTTCATTTTTTTTTAAATCAAAGTATCTTCACCATTTGTTTGACTGCTTTATTGTTGCTCCTTATCAGCAAACCAATCGTACATTAGATGGGGCAGGATTTGTCACCAAAACTTCAAACCTGTTGTGAAGGTATCACGTTTACCCAAAAGTATGATATTTTCCTGAACCTAACCCTGTAGTTTTGATACCAAAGCCTAGCCAAACAGTGAATGAAAACAAAACTTAAGTCTTAGAGCAATGTGAACCCCAGTTTCCTAGACATGACTCCTCCCTCCCTCCATCCTCCTAATGCAGACTGTGTGGCTCTTTCAAATGGGAAGAATTTTCACTGATTTTCTATTTTTACCTTTGTGGAAATAAATCTTTTTTTTAAAAAAACACAATTAAAAATGCAGTTTAGTGGTATAGCAACGTCATTTTTGTGAGAAAGGTCTACTGCAACTGGAATTCATGCAAATTAGAAATCCAAGCATTAGTTTTTTTTCCAAAGAGGCTTGTTAACTCATGCTCATTCACATTTACATTTGCAGGTTAAACTTTAAAGATCTGGTGTGTGCATCTACAATTTTAGCCAGCGGAACAATGATTTTTGGTGTGGCATCTGTCAAAACCAAAAACAAGAATAAAATAAATAACGGAGGCGTGACTGACTGTGGGGGTGTGCTGTACTTTATACTACACTTAGCAGACAACTATGATGCTTTTGCTGTCATCTGTGAGACAGAAATAGTGCTCTCCTTTTCTTAAATGACAACATTACTGTGATCTGCTCAGCAATGTGACATCATATCCAGTTTTGGTGTGAAATGTAAAGAAGGTTTGTTGAACTAAACTCAGATGCCTCCATAACCCAGTTGGCTATGTATGCATGATAAGCATGATTTAATGCAGTGGTTCCCAACTGATCTATCCTCAGGGTCCAAATCTTTCCATTAAAATCAGGTCACGGTCCACACATAGGCCCACTTAACATCCATTCAGTTTATTTTCATCCATCCATTCCACCTGCTAGTAGACTCAAACCTAGAAGCGTCCTGCTGTGAGGAGACAGAGCTGACCACTGTGCAACCCTTACATTTTTTTCACAACATTCTAACAAAAATGTACAAAAATGAGGGAGCTTTGCAGTAAGAGAGAGCAGTTAGGGCTTAAAACCAGCATTTTAAAAAACAACAAAATCCTACTAGTATTCATTACCAATACTTTGGGCTTATTCAAGCCCTAATATGAGCTGCAGGAAAGACGATCCTTGAGGGTAAGAAACACTGTTCGAAGGAGGAACAAACTTTGAAACACTGCCAGCAGCAATAGGCTATTTGTACCATCTGTGCTTCTGCTTCAAAATAAAAACATTACTTGAGATATAGGTTTTTGTTTTTTGTTTTTTTAAATAATCATGACCCACTCAGAATGTGTCCATAGCCCACTTTTGGACCACAACTCACTTGTTGGAAACCACTGCTTTAATAAAGTGTGGTGGATAACAGACAAATGGAAGAAGATGGAGGGGGAATCAAACCACTATGAATGAATGAAACATGATGAACACGATAAACAAGAGTGTAGGGCATCGATATAAACACCTCTTAAAAACAGAGTGACGTGGTTTCAGTTCTAATCATGCCTTTGTCTCCCAGCACTGATCACGTTCATGAAACACATTTTTTTTTGAGAGGACAGGCAAAGAATCTTGTCGTGTATTTAGTTTCAGCAGTCTTTTCTGAACTAATCACAGCCAGGATGTGGGACAACCAAAACCAAAAGTTCTTAACTTTGACCTTGGCAGACAGGGCACACTAAATAATTCATCAGGGTGTAGTGTGCTTCACTTCAGTAAGTGTCTCTGCTTTGCTATGCCGACTGAATCCGTGCAAGAGCCTGGATATCTCATAATCTTGACCGTGTCGTACAAACTGCTGAGAGACATAATGATTAAATATTTCGGTTCACATTATGGCCATTGTGGAGCCCTTTGAGACTGCAACAATAGCTACGAGCCACACAGATGGCTTCTTTTGGCTTTGAGTGCTTTTATTCTGATCAGTGACACCATCTTTCCTCCTGAGAGAGGGATCATTAATGTGAGACAGCAGCCATGCAGTGTCAGTGTGAGAGAGATGCTGGGACCTACGTTGAGCTCTGCGGGCTTCCAGAAAAGTTGGGCGGCAGCAGCAACAACAACAACAATAACAACAGAGCACATCATATACCAAGACACAACACTGAACCTAGCACTCCTAGCACTGCTCAAGATGGCCAAGTGTGAGCAGAAAGAAAACAGCATGCTGTGCCAGAGCTAAAACCTGAAGCGCAATACAGTGGAATTAAAGCAAGAGATGGAAAAATGCAAACCCCAATCATCCAAATACATCAAATAATCATTCAGACTGATTATTTTGGTACCAAACATTTGTCAATGCTTTCTTTTACCATAGTTACCAGTCATGTGAGTAAAATCAACTCATGTTTTCCAGGTGAAGCTGTATAATCATGGACAGTGTCATACACTGCTAAAATGGAAACTAATGGTTAGAAGCATTGCACGATCAGAGTTTTTTTCTACTTGATTGTGCAGCAAGTTATTGCACAGCGCGTATCACTGCAGTGCCACTGTGACAAATACAAAATAAGACTATGAAAGACTTAATCATAGACATTATAAATGAATATATGTATAAACTGTTTATTTATAGCACAATTAACAACATAGATAACAGTTAAATTCTAAAAACAAACAAAAAAATCAGCATGTAAAAAGAAAAAAAATAAAGATTTGTATTTGGATACTTTTATGATCAGGCAATAAAAGGGATTTGCTTTATTCCATCTTGAAAAAAAACATGCAGCAGGCAACACCCAGTTAAAACTAGCAGAAACAGAAACTCTGAACATTTCCAAAATTAGACCACCGATAGAAGAGTTTGCACCATTTTCAATCATGTGGAACACCTTATTCAATCAAGGAAATAGTTGCTTTTCTTTTTGTTTTGTTTTGTTTTGTTTTCATTACAGAGCAATTCAAGCCAATAATTCAGATTTCACTGAAGACTGGCCTCCATTTATCTGTGGTTCAAGGTTAAAATAAGTATGTGTACTCACATGTTTGGACAGGTCTGGGCTTTTGGAGTCAACATCATACCTGAAAGGAAACAAGTAAAAGTAGAAAGACATTTTTCTTTTTTTTACTTAAAAAACTATAGAGGAGACTCTTATCTAAGTGAGGACATTTTGACTGATATGCTCTTAAAGGAACCATTTAAAACAAGCACTGGCGATCTGCCATCACTGGAAGGAGAACAAATGTACTCTCATGACACTACACTTATCTTGATTTTGGCTTTTCGTGTTGTTTTTTGTTTTTAAGTTGAAGGGCATCCAGGGAAATCGATGAATGTAGCAGTAATTGGGGATAAATTAAAATGAAACTAAGCAGCGGAAAGCAGTATACCAGAATAAAAGAAAATAAGATCACATTTTGATGTGCTAAATTGAAAACCGTAATGTGTAATGAGGTAGGTGCACATCATGAGAGAAAAAACAAGGAAGGTAATCATATGTGTAAATTCAGAATGAGGCGAGATAAAAGGAACTCAGATCTTGGTGCCTTTTCAGATGTTACTATTTGTGGTGCAGAGTAACCAGGAAAGGTTCAACAAGACCTTTTCTGCTCTTCCATAGTAATGAGAGGTGGACCTGACCTGATTTGCATGTGAATATAAAGCAATGAAAGTGAGAAAAATGGAGGATATGTGATGTACCAAGCTGAACACCTGATGAAACAATGGGTCGCGTTCGCCATGAGCATAATCAGGTACAAAAACAGTAATATTCTGAATAAAAGTACATCAGGCTGTTTTTTTTTGTTGTTGTTGTTGTTGAAGTCCAGCATAATCTTCAGTGTTTGTGTGTTTCTCATCATTAATTAAAAGGAAAGCTCAAATGATGGAAATTGCTGCTATTTTTTTACAGCGAGGGTATATTATAGGACATAAAGGCGGGTTGTGCTAAGGGTCGTTGTGTTGAAAATAGTTTTGATGAAATGTTTATTTGTGTGATCGTGACTTTAAATGAATTTCATCCCTGAAAGAGCCAACTACATGAAAATCTGAGGAGGCATTCTTTGTATCAGCCTATTTGAAGCTGGCATATAAACCTGCAAGTTGGCCGACATCACAGTCCATGTGGGCTTAAAAGGAGACTGTCTGTCTCTCAGGGAAGTTAAAGCAAGTGAGAAAAATGAAATCAAGATTGGTGGAGAGGTAAAGTCCTGCCCCTGCTGGCGAACCCATTGTACCTTTGTTAGGTAGTAAGTAGTCAATGGCAAGAGGCAAATCATTTTTTGATCCCATTTGAATTGTGTCATGATCTGATGTTTGTCAATTTAAACAATGGTTTTGCAAGTCAAGAAAGTCACAATTTATCATAAAGGCAGCAAAGTAGTACCATACACTTTTAATACAGACACAAACATCCCGGCGGTTACCTCGTTCCTCCAGACTGAGGGAAACAGTATTGGAGGTAGAGTTGGTGAGCCGTGTTGCAGGTGCGGTTTAGCAAATGGTCAGTTCCTTATGCTAAGCTAACTGTAACAACAGGGCTTTCAATCATAATGAGACAGAGGGGGAGTGACGGATGACAGAGGGATAAAGTGAGAGATAAAGTGCAATGATGATACAAAATCACTCACAAGTCAAAGCGAAGGTTCTGCTTTTCCTCAAAAAAGTAGTCCAAGATGTACTTTCTAACAAAGTCGGGGTTTAGGGTGTTGTCTATTACCTCCGTTCTGCCAAACTGTAGGGAGAGAAAGACAGTTGGAGGTCAGGAGAGAAGAATGATGAAAGCAGAAGCAACACAACAAAACACAGTTTCAAAAAAACAAATACAGTTAGTTGTGTTGTCTGCTTGCATTTTAACTTCTTTTTTTTCCTCCCTTTTTATCTGTTTTGCAGCCTTTCTCTCATTACACATGCATATACATGAATTTACAGAGGCCTGATTTATGGAGGTGCTTTCACACGCTGCTGCTGCTGCTGCTGCTGCTGTGCAGAGGAAGACAGTGGTGTGTTTCCTGCTTCCTTGATCCTCACCCATCTCCCACATTAATTACAGCAGGATAGCTCACTCATCAACCCCACAGAGAGAAATAGATAAAGAGATGAGGAACATTTGTAGACAGAGAAACAACACGGGCAGACTGGCAGATTAAAAGGGCAAGAAAAAATAAATAAAAAATTGGAGAGGTATGAAAAGCAGGCGGAAGAAAAAGGAGGCACCACTGGAGTGTAGGCTGGGGCTTTGGATAGAAAAGGAGGTGGGGGAGTGGGAAAAGAGTGGGACGAAGAGAGGAGGAGAAAAGCAGTGATTAAGACTTCCTAATTAGAAAGAGTCTCACTCCAATAGTGCCAAATGCAGGGAAAAATGCCAAAGTGAGGCTGGCAGCGACCCAGCGACGCCACATGCATATTTACACATTTGTACAGTATATTTATACACACATATACTGTACAAAATGGTAACAAAGAGATATAGTGCAAACCTGTTAAAGCCCTCTGGATGTATATCTAATCAAGTATTCCATAGACATGAACAGTCAATAAGTAAATAGAAAATAATATATAATCTCATCGAGCAATATATACTGAATGGTTGGTTGAGCAGTGCTGTTTTGCAGAGAGAATTGGTTGGCACGAGTACAAAAAAAAAGAACAGAGTTGGACGAGAGCAGTTGGTTAACATATGGATGAAATTAACATGTAATTTATGAGCATACTGTCGAGTGAACTACAGGCATGAGCACTCCTGCTTTTGTGAACAACAAAAAGCACATAAATGCCTTGAAGAAAGTGAATGCAAATGTTATTGTGTCTCTCTGTGGCAGCAGGTTTTTCATGCCATATTTGATTGTGACTGTTCAGAGCACCCTGTTTGTGTTGGCCAAAGCAATAGGCTTTCAATCATATTTATGTTTTGGTAACTCCAAAACAAAAATGGTGCCAAGTCTGACGACTCCACCTTCATGTGCGAAATCTGTTTGTCACTGAGTTTAAGCCAGTCAGATTAAGAAGAACTTTATTAGGAATATAAATCACGTGAGCACAATATAAAGCCACAATATTACCTTGATTGTGACATAGTGAACCAGGGCCTTTGTGCTCCTGTCACATTTTTAGTTATGCGGGCTCGTTTTTCACTGCAATATAAAGTCCTACAGCTCTATGGAGACGTCACCACCATGGCTAGAAGTAGAGAGAACTAAAAAATATCTGCTGTGCTGTACAAATTATAACAACGTTAGAATGTAATGATTCATTGAAGACAAAAAAAAGAAAAGAAAAAGTTGAGTTTCTCTGATTATTTATTTTGTGAATATTAAAAAAAACAAAAAAACAAAGCTAGAATCTGCACACGGGTGTCAGCACTGTGGGGGGAAAATGAGGGCTCCACATGCTTTAGATATTTTAAAACGTAGAAATTGAATTTGTTTCCCTATTTGTCCTCTTTCTGCTCTGTGTAAGCACAGCCTGCAGTTCAGCCTAATAATCCCTGAATTTTTTTCACGTGACTGTTTGTCATAGCTGAGTCCTTAATGGTTCATTCACAAAATTTTTATTAAAATTTTATTATTATTTTTTGAATGGAATTTGGTTAGAAAAAAACAGTTTTGTTTTGTTTTGTTTTGGGGAGGAATGGGGGAAAAAATCTGATTCACTATGATAAAGCTTTGGTTATATTTCCTAATAGAACGACCCATCACAGAAGAACAGTTCAAGAACCCTTGGAAATGTTAAAATTCAATGATTCTTAAAGATCCTGGCTTTGTTAAAGACAGTAACTTTAAGGATAACACGCCTTTCAAACCTGCAACCTATTTTTGGGGTTCAGATAGTTAAGTGAACTAATTCAGGCATTTGTGTTCACTGTTATATCACAAAGAAAACAAACAATTGCTTAATCCCAGGTATTCATTAAATGTTTAATCTCATTGTTTCTTGTTAATTTTTCTTAATCACATCCATCTTCATTTATTCAGGCTTTATCTTATACATAACTTTAACAGCCAAATATGCCCGCTGGAAGGCTGCCAAATTCATCGTTATTAAGAAAGACATTTGCAATTGTGAGTCAGGCTTGTTGTTCAGTAATGTGGAAGGCAGGTACTGTAGGTGGATGTATGAGTAAACCATGACTTTCCAATTAGTATATTAAAGAGAACACATACAGCACATTGTGGGCAATGATGGCAACACGGCTGAAAACCGATACGCTTCATTATTTTTACACAATGTTGACGCCTTCTTTTAAAGTTCTATTTTTCTCTGTGTGAACTCACTTAGAAGCAGGGAAGGAGGAAGGACACTGATATTGAATTACTCTGACTTTGTAAGGGAACCTGAGGTGTTGATGAGGTTGTGAGCACATGTTAGTAAAGAGGTGGGTGATGGCAAAGATGAGCTCCATAATGTGATTTCCCCGTTGAGTGGAAGAGACAATACTGTGCTGCAGAGTTCATTAGATACTGCTGGGCTGCTGGCGCTGGCTAATGAGAATCTGGTATGAAGTCCCTAACCTGCACCCCCGACATTTACACACACAGATGCAGAACAGCTTACACACACACACACACACACACACACACACATGCATGCATACAGCAAACTGAACTCTTCAGCCAACAGCTACTGTAGAAACCTGCAGGCTCTGATACTGAAATGCAAACATGCACCTAAAACACTGTGAGTGAGAGCATGGTGTAAAATAAGGCCCTAGCGAAGAAGAGCGATAACAAGACTTGAGTATAATCCTCTGTTATCTTTGTGGTTTTTCTGTCCCAAGCCTGACCTCATCATCTTCTACCCCGGAGCACACACAAACCACTGCTGGGAATTTGTGCCATCTGAATGTGTTGTAGTTCTTTGGCCACTGTGGGGTTTTTTATTTTCCTTGTAGCATGTGCAGTGGATGGCAACATAGTGCTGATATAATGAGCTTCAAGCGCTAACAGAGAGATGTAAATGACAGTAGTGTGAATTTAGTGTGTGACTGGGCTTTTTCTTCTGTTTTGGCCTCCGGTAAAAGGCACTGGGGTGCGTTTAAAGAATTCCCAAGACAGAGAAAACACAAAGAGCATGAAGCCCCTCCCCAGGAATGAGTTAAGAGTTCAGAGCCAAACAACCAGCTAAAAGCCGTTTTTCCATATACCCACCAACTAAGTGTTGTGTGGTGTCATTTGAGAATAAATCCCAGGGCTTTTTAGGGCTTTGAGACAGAGCTGTAATTGTGTGAGGTCTTGGCTTCACATACAACCAATTCTAATATATATGTCACAGTCCAAATCAAAATCCAGGCAGATTTTAAATCTGCCTTGGCGAGAATAAAATTTTGATTTGGTCTAGACCAAATTGAAATTATCCTTATAGCAAATTGAGATTGTAAGCTTGCCTAGACAGGTTTAAAATTTGATCACAACAAATTAAAAATCTGAATTAAATCTGAATTCTAAGATTGATTTCACCGAGACCACATTAAAATCATTCATATACATGCTGTATTTGTACCAGTCTTGTGTGACTATGACAAAAGATGCATCACATCCCTTCAGATGTATTTGAATGAAAATGTTGGTGTGACCCTTTGATGGTTACAACACTGAAGAATGTGAGGTTCACACACATGGTGAAGTGTGGAGATTATAGATTTAACATTTGCCCAGGCAGGATTACAATCTCATTATGATATAAGAAGGATTTTAATTTGGTCTAAATTTGAGTTCTGCCCAGGCAGATTTAAAATCTGCCTAGACCAAATCAAAATGTTATTTTCGCCTCGACAATAAAATATCTGCCTGGATATTAACTTGGACTGTGACATATAAACACAGAAGCTGACACATGGACCAACACACAGCAACAAGAAACACCTGCCAGTGGGGGGGGGATGGATGGAAGGGAATCGCCATGCCACATCTATGTAAAGCACTGAACAGCATCAACATCCTCTTTCCTGCTCTCTCTCGAAAGTGGCACATAACCATCATGGAACAGCTTTGCACTTTTTTTTTGTGTATGTGCTATGGGTGTTCTTTCCCCAAGTGTTGCACTGAAGTATGTACTGCTAATGCTAAAAATAATTTGCAGTAATTGACTGAAATGATTGCAGGCCTGTGTTTGATTGCACCCCTGGTTTCATCAGTCCTTCTCTTGTTACTGTAGAGGCGTATTGAGAAGTGAAAGAACGTGTACTTTCATGGCTGATTTTCAAGCCTGGCACCAGAAGCTCTATGTGAGGTCGGGTTGTGGATTTTTCAACAGTAATCTGTATTTTTTCAGATATATGTTCCAATCCCCCAAGTTACATTACATAAATTGTTTGGGGACAAAGTGTATTTCTGACAGATGAGTTTGTATTCGTCAGTAGCACTTGAAATTTTTCAACATTAAATTGGGAGCAACCATAGGCCTAACTTATGCCTCCTATGGCATTTCAGACTTGGTCTTAGATGTGTGCGTTCCTACCCTTTATCATTTTCTCAGTTGTTTTGTACAGGGAGTCATTACTGCTTGTTATTACCTGGTTTTATAAAATAACAGCTGCTGGGCCAAGATAAAACTGTCCAATAAATCTAAGCATAAAATCACCCTAAAAATAATTGTAATCTAGAACAAAAATGCTTCAAAATAGAGCAGACTGAGCATGTGCAATGAAGAAATTAAGCGCACACTAGCTTTGAATATTTGTAAGCTCTTCATTAAATAACAGTTGCATTAACATGGCAGACATGATGCATTGTGCAAGAAACTCTGGAGGAGATGGAAATCATTGTCAAATGTGACCGCAGCCTGACCGCCGTGCTAGAGGGTCCTGTCAGAGGACGTTATTTACAACGTCCCGGTGAGTCTCACCTGTTTGACTTTGATCTTTCAGTCTGAGGTGTTTAGTGTGGCTCACACAGCGTCACCTGGAGCTCCATCAACACCAAACGCTTCTTAGTAATATGATTATGGATGTGATGGTTCATCTCTGCCAGGGGAGGACCCATGTAAATGTTTCTTGGTGAACAGGACAGAGTGACATACAGTTTGATTTGAAAATAAACTGAAGTGAAATGCTCATTATACTAATCATGCGTCGTGTGCTTGATTGGATTAACAGTCTGTCCTAACAATCATGCTCGCAAATTAAAATGCCATTTTTTGGACGTGTGATGGAGAATTTATTGAAAGACGGACATTTATATATGCGTACGCCTATTTATTAAGCATATACACATATGGCATATGCTATTTCTGCAGTACTTCGGCTACATTCAAATGAAGCCCACACAACCATCTGCTGTTTGCTGGTACACCCAAGGACAAAAAATGAAGGTTATCAAACTGTAGAAATAAGTCGTCAAATATAGAAATATATATGGATTCCATGCTATATATTCCCAATCGACCAGGTTTGTGGTTACTTATTATGGTAACATGCATAAAAAAGATAGATAAATACTAGATCATATATTTAGTTATAAATATCGCAACAGTTATTATCACTCTTTGCGTATTTATTATAGCCTCTACCCATTTTGTGTTTGTGAGATCTCTGATTGTTTTGTTTTGTCACAGCTTTCCTAGTTTATAGTACCCAACATTTCTGTCTTCTACACTCTGTTTGTATTCTTAAGCACTAAAATAAACTTTATAGATAAACATTTTTCCATTTACCTTCTGGAACAACCTCTCTGTAAAGTATTTAATCTAGGAACTTGTGTAATAATGTTTAAATTTAAAGTTAACACCAATTTACTTAATTTAACTCACTTATACTTTCCATAATTTGTTGCTTTTATCCCCACTAGCGTTACAGAATGTCCTAATTTGGCTTGAGTTATACAGTATATGTCTGTTTAGTGTCAACGAATCCCTTGAAGGGCTCATTACTTTTCTACTTCCCAACGCTGCCTGTGACTCTCGACCTCCAGCCTGAGCGGTTCCTTCTGAAGACACAATTCTTAAAAGCAGCAAAATATACAATATAATGAAATGCATCTGCAACAACTGACAATCGTCGCTGTGGCTTACTGAAACTAAATACCACACAGACTTTCACAGCAAATGTGAAACTGTAATTGTGACGTATTTTTCGCTACTTCTCCCTAATTTTCTGTCTTAGTCCTCTGATTTAAAATCCATCTCATGTATTTGTTTTCTCTCATTAAATGATTAATTAGAAGGATTTTTACCTGCAGTCCACAACGTTAGCTTTCATCGACCGGATAAACAGACAGAATGGTTAGATGACAAATGTGCAGAACTGATGGTGATGCTGCACGGACTACGCAAACCAAACAAGATACAGTAAGAGCTAGATTAATGCCTCCCCAGTGTGCTGTTTGGTCCCCAAAATGTCAACATATTGATCATTATATTGTGATCTTTTCTCTTTGTTGGTTGAAGTCACCAATTAGGGAATATTTCGCTGGCATTTTCAGACAACTGATGGCTGAACAGCTTTAATGAATTGTTAAAACCAACTACTGTGTGCTCACAGTGAGAAGAAAAACAAAGAATTGGAATGTCTTAACTAGAGCACCACCGCTCCACCCTTATGCACACAGAGAGAACAGCAAGAACTTAATTGGACACAAGTCTTCTTTTTTTATTTGTGTTCGTGTGTGTGCGTGCATGTGTGTGTTCACTCACCTCTCGCCACTGTTTGGTTTCGACACCTTGCGTATAGAGAACACACACTGTGGAAAACATACCAGATAGGGACATAAAAAGATGAAATATTTTCATAGAAAGAAGAAATGTGAGCCTGAGAGAGACAGAAGAATAGCAAGAGAATTAGAAAAAACAAAAAACAAAAAAACGCAGGCAGATTCCAAATGGAAAATCAATGGGAGGGTTTTAGCTCCAGTACAGTGAACAAACAGCTATGGCACTCTGAGTAAAACAAAGATTTCCCAAATCACAGGGCAACATAGCCACGAAAACAGACAGCACTGAAGAGAAGAAGAAAAAAAGACATAACTAGAGCCGGGCAGCAGCGCAGTATTTTAAAAGAGCACAGTACCAGAGCAGAGATGACAGAAGAACACAGACGCACACTGAGAACAGTTTCTACAATATACTCACATGGATCTGACTTTGAGAATGTGTCTTTATCCAGCAGATTTCTGGAAAATGAGAGAAGAGAAAAGAAAGAATTGTTACTCATTGCAATGATGTGCAGATGAAGTCAAATTATCCGAATAAATCATTTCACTTTTACGTGAGTATGTGATGACTTTTGTGTATACATGTATTCCTCAATTCAAATTCTGCATCCTCTATACCCTCATTGTAATTGTTCCATTAGAAAGGATTTTGCAGTTAACAGATTGTGGGTTTCTTTCTTTGGGGTGTTGTTTATTTTGTAAGAATCTAGTTCATCCATCCATCCATTATCTATACACCGCTTAATCCTCACTAGGGTCGTGGGGGGCTGGAGTCTATCCCAGCTGACTTAGGGTGAAGGCAGGGGACACCCTGGACAGGTCACCAGTCTATCACAGGGCTACACTTAGAGACAGACAACCAAGCACATTCACATTTACACCTACCGACAATTTAGAACCACCAATTAACCTCAACATGTTTTTGGACCTTGTGGGAGGAAGCCGGAGAACCCGGAGAGAACCACGCTGCACGGGGAGAACATACAAACTCCACACAGAAAGACCCCAGGTGTCCTCACTGGGATATGAACTGGCGACCTTCTTGCTGCGAGGCACCGCTCCACCTTGCAGCCCAGAATCTAACTCATGCTTTTGTAATTTCATAGGTTTTGGTAAAACTGTGGAATATATTTTATTGGATAACAATTCTTCTATCCACCTCTGCTCTGTTTGAAGATAAACCTCCAACATGCAAAACTTTACTGTGTTCAGCGACTGTTGAACGCTCCTCTTCTTCCTTACAGATATTCTATCAAAGGTTACCCATGACACTTTGCAAACAGCTTGAGGAAATTAAAAAAGACAGAAACAGTTTTCTGCGGAAATGTAACTTTAAATTAGCTGCAACATTCAACAGAGGGAGAAAAGCAATGGCTCTCCAAACCCTGAACATCGATTGTGCTGCCAGCATCTGGTCATTTGTTTAAGTCAAGGGCTAGTTAGACCTCTGCACTAGTTAAAGGAGGACAGGACTGTGTTGACAATTTAGCTACAAGTTCTCCTTAAAACAGGACAAAATATGTTGGTGGTCTAGAATGACACACAACAGGATCATTCCATCTTAAATCATCTCTCATCAGTTTTTTAGAACAATTTCTGCTTGACCATCTGACTTGCCTGAATGTTCTATAGCATAAATAAAGATATGTGTAAAAAATTCTACTTGATACATCAAATTCATACATCATCAGTCAGTTCGGAAAGAAAACATGCTTAACTTTTTGCAACTACATGCGGTTCATAAAATATCACGAGCTGACTTCTGCATTAGCTTTTTTGTTGTTGTTGTTGTTAATTTGTGCTCAAAAGTGGGACTTGTCATGACGACTTTACATTTCAATTCACCCACAATCAACGACTTTTTGATCGAATTGTCCAGTATCTTAGATTCTGAATCTGAAATCAAATGTCAGGCTTTTATCTTTAATAGTTCCTGGAATATTAATTTAACAAATTCAATGTGCAAAATAAATGTTCTGAAAGGGGGTCGACCAGCTTTTAAAAAAAAAAAATTAAAATCATCTCAGAAAGGATTTGATACATAGATCCAAAATTTCCAAGACACCACTTTAAATATTCATAGTTCAGGATTTTTTATTTTATTTTTTTTTAAAGAAAAAGAAAAAAGTTTCAAGCAAATTTAGACATGGTCGAGCAGAAGGCTCATGATGATTTGAGATGGAATAACCCAGAAGTGTTTTCTGAACAGAGTTTTATTGTATATGAAGCTACGTGACTCCATGTAGAATGACTGAGTTTGATTACAGTGTAGCAGGTAACGATTGGTGCACAGAGCTGTTATGTAACGGTTCACCAAAGAAACTTGAGTTATATTTGAGAGATTTTTGTTGTTGTTGTTGTTGTTGTTTTGTCCTAGCAAGATCCAAAAGCCTTCATCAAACAGTTCCTATTCAACCACACAGTTCTTGACTCATTCTGGCTAAACAGTCAATAGAAAGAACGATGTGTTGTAAACTGTCGTAAAGGTTTGAAAGCACAGTCTGGACGTATCTGCTGTCCTAGGTGGAGGTATAATCAGACAAGGTAAATCCAAACCAGTGAATAAGTGTAGTATGGTTTTAATTACAAATGCAGGGACAACAAATGAACCAATATACTTCACTATGTATATTATACAACGCAAGTATTGTCAGAAGTATTCTTTTTTTTTTTTGAAAGTACACTAACATTGTCTAAAATCCTCGAAGAGAAAAAGGCTAACTAATGCACAACAATGTGACCACCCCTCAGTATTTATAATGTGCATCTGCAGAAGAAGCCGAAGCATAGCAAGAGAATTACAGTTAAGGTTCTGTGTGCCTATAGGATTAAGAGCACTTGAAACATCCATTAAGTATGTGGGAGCACAGTCACTCTTCCATGTGCAAGTGTGAGTGCATACGAGGTCTATAATGTACACAGGCAACCATACTCATTTCTACAGTCACGGACGACAAAATCAACTAACCAGCAGGAATATCAGCGCAGAAAATTGTTGGGTTTGTGATTCTCACACAATAGCAGCCTGATTGCTAGCCTGTCTGTGTGTTTACTCATCTCATTATCTCATCTCTCTGCCTGCCCTCCAAACACCCACCACGCCTCTCTCTTTGCGATGGCACGCAATGTTCAACCTCACACTTTCACATTCTTCATATTAAAGAAGAAATATTTGTAGGGCACTGATTTTTCTGATTACATTTTTATTCAACTGCGCTCTGTGGATGTTGCTGCTAACTTAATTTAGGAACAGTGTGCCTTTTGGAGGTGGAGTTCTTTAGATTGCTTTTATTGTAATTAGTACAGTTGTTTCCCAGACTAATGGAATTTATTAGGAAACGCCATCTAGCAGCTCGTCCCAGTGGTCATAATTACAGTAGGTGACCTATTACAGATTATATTTGAAGGAATCCTCTTAACCTGAAGCCTGATTAATGCCTGTAGCTCTGATTTAGAGCAAAGGTTGCAGACACAAAATTATAGGCTTGTAAATGTGAGGAGAAAGCACAAAAAGGTCATTGTCAAGGGTCTCTTTCATGCTTCTCCGCCTGTCTCTCCCACTCCACCCTCCAGCCTCCGTCTTCATCTGTAAAGTACAGTTTAACCAGGAAATGCTACTAAATGCTCTATACATGACAAGAAAGATAACAGCCATATTATCCGTAATCATCTAAGGCTGAAGTATTTTGCTGAGGTTTTTATCTACTTTTTATTGATTTGTTTGACATCTTATTTTATTTAACCTAAATTGTGTTTAAAATGTGACAGGAATCCACTATGTTACTGTGTTATTTCAAACACAGTGGCTAGAGATGAGTATTTAAAAGAGACTAAGGGAGATTATTTTTCAATTATTTCTCTTGCTTATTAGTTGTTTGAAGAATCACAACTTTCCCCTCAACTTTTCATATTGGCCTCAAATGTTTTGATCTTTAATTTAAGGACCAAAACACACAGAGCTTTTCATTTTGTTCGTCTTATGGGCTTTCCACCCCTTTAGATTCATCATTGTAGTATTCGTCAAGACTTATGTTTCCAGAGATGTGCAAAAGTGCTTCATCTGAGGCAACAATTAATCACTTAACCAGTCTTGGAAGTGTGTGTGCTGCATGGAAACCAGAACATAAATATCTGGTTTGTGCAGAAGCAAACATTCATGGTGGGCATTTATTGGTATGGATTTTAGGTTGAAATGATTTTTTTCTTTTCCAAGCAGGAATTGCATGAACTAATCAGCACAATGATCATTTTTCAGAGTAGATTTTGAATGTGTGAGATGCTTACAATTTATCTGTCTTCAGCAGTGTCTTTTGTGATTCTTCTTTATGGGGGAAACAAGCTGTCTGGGGATGTCATGTCAGAGCTGCGCCAAGTGATTGACAGTGAGGCTGACAGTATATTCTGTTCCTGATATTATTTATTTGCTGGCTGTTTTTCATGCACTTTCATCTTCTCTCTTTCCACTCTGTCTCTGTTCACCAATTCCCCCTTGATTTTAATGCACTTTTTATTCATGTGTCTTTCCCTCTTATCTTAGCCCGTGTTTCGAGTGTCCATGTCACACTTCCATCCGGCTTGCTCGACCTTTTCATAACGCCTGCCACAAGCTACTGCCTACTCACCACTATTACCCCTCTTGATTTATTTTGCTCGCTTGGTCGCTACAGTGACACGAGAGCCCTCACTCAAGGTGCGAAAGCCCATTGGCTCCTCTGATTCCTGTTTCTGTTTCTTTCTTGTTTCATTTTCTTCAGCTGTTTCTGTTGCCATAAGCCTTTAGCTGTGTTCTTTCATCAGCCTCGATCTCTTTTGATCTTTCCTCTGCTCCTGTATTTCCTCTTTCCTCTTTTAAAGCTTTCAAGAGCAAGCTGAGAAGACAATTACTGATTAAAAAAGAAAGAGAAAGAAAGAAACCCATGAAGTCCTGACATCTTGCATTTTTCCCCCCCTCTTATGTTCAGAGTTAAAGAAGAGCTGGGATGCTCTGTGACTGTCAAAGAGGCAGTGATTGAAGCACTGCAGCCAGGTCCATGTCACAAAAAAGTACATTTCATTACAGTTTGATCTAAATTGAAAAGAGGAAATGGATTTGGTAGTACTAAAGCAAACTAATCTAATTAGCAAATCAGAGCTCACGCTGCGGTGACTTTAAAAGTGATTTCATCCTAATCAGAAATATCATGCTGCTACAACACCAGTTAGAGGAGAGGGAATTTGGAAGGCAAAAAATAAAACATCTTGCCATTTTCAGACAATCATGCTTGTATGCAAAAATGTCTCAGGAATGTATTGTTTTAATTGGATGTTTTGTTCAGTTAATTTATTCAGCCCTTATCCAAATACATATTTAGCTGCATTTGGACCCTCTCCATCCACCAGCCCACCCTAACAGCCTTCAAAGGGGGGCTACATTAGCACACAATGTGTGCAGCAATTGATTCATGCTTCACTGAATGTGC